ACGCAAGCACGGTACGTATACACCCGTGTGCCCACAGAACCCTTGCTGACAATTTCCACTAGACATCTACATCGCTGTCGTCTCGTCTGCACACAACGTCTGCCCCAAGGGCTACTACATCGCCATTGTCTCCACCATCGCTGAGGGCGACAGCAACCACCACCTTGAGCTCCAGCCCGGTCTTGACCGTCTCGGAAAGATCGAGGAGAAGTTCATGGGCCCAGCTATCCCACTCTACGAGCCAATTGAGAGCGGTGCCAAGGACAACATCTTCATGTCGAAGAGCTACGACGCGACCAGCCACTTTGAAACAACGACTGGTATGTTTCCGATGTCTGACATGGTGCACGAAATACTGACACATGACAGATGACATCAAGGACATTTACCAGCGGGCCGAGGGCCACGAGCTGGTTGTCGAGGGTCTGAGAGAGGGCGCGAACTTCAATGTTGAGGAATAGACGGGCTCCACGAGGGGACGGATGATACAAGCATCAACGGTCTTTTAGGTATATCGTTTGGTAATCGGTAAAGACTTGGCTTCTACAATGACTTTCATTCTCAACATGTGTGAATGCGTGATGCTGCGGAGCTCGAGCTCGGTATTTCCTATTTGGGCGATGAGATCGGTCCCTTCCAATTCGACCACCACGCGCGTCTCGACGAACGTGTCAGTCCAGCCCAGATCCAGGTGTATAACAAGTCAAAGCTGCATCCATTTATAGCGTATTGAGTCGTGATGTTGTACCTGTGCCTATGACGATGGTAGATCTTGGCAGGGATACCTCCATGGCTCCGCAACCATCTGAGTACTGCAACGCGTCCACAAAACGTGTCCTCGAAGCGCATTGCTGTTCCCACACTCCTTTACCATGGCGCAATTCGGTCGCTACAGGTTCCTGCTGGTAGCAGTAGTGTTCCATCTGGTGTACATCTATACAATATTCAGCATACATTTCACAAGTCCGATTGTCCATGGCATGCGCGAGCACCGCGTGGAGACGCAGGAGGCTCCCGCGAAACGTTTAGTGCTTTTTGTTGGTGAGTCGCGTGAAATGGGCCTCCATTCAGCACTGACAGTATTACAGGCGACGGACTCCGCGCAGACAAGGCATTCCAATCGTTTCCTAACCCTGACCCCAATCCCCCGACCCCTCTCGCAGACAACACCAGCGACCCGCGACCTCTCGCCCCGTACCTTCGCTCTCGCGTCCTAGAACATGGCACCTTTGGCGTCTCCCATACGCGCGTCCCCACCGAATCGCGCCCCGGACATGTTGCGCTCATCGCAGGTTTATACGAGGATGTCTCCGCGGTCACGACCGGGTGGAAGCTGAACCCAGTCAACTTTGACAGCGTCTTCAATCGAAGCCGGCATACGTGGAGCTGGGGCAGTCCTGACATTCTTCCCATGTTTGAGGCGGGCGCTGTACCTGGGAGAGTCGACGCATACTGCTATGGTGCTGAAGAAGAGGATTCCTCCAAAGACGCCTGGGTGTTGGACGAATGGGTATTCGAGCGCGTCAAGAAGCTCTTTGCGGACGCCAAAACGAACGCGACACTGGACGCAGAATTGAGGCAGGAGAAGAACGTCTTCTTCCTCCACTTGCTTGGAATCGACACCACAGGCCATGCGCATCGACCATATTCGTGGCAATACTTGCACAACATTCAGATTGTGGACCGCGGAGTTCAGGAGATTACGGAGTTGATTGAAGAGTTCTACAACGATGACAAGACGTCCTTTGTGTTCACAGCGGACCACGGCATGAGCGACTGGGGAAGCCATGGAGACGGACATCCAGACAATACGCGCACACCCTTGATTGCATGGGGTGCTGGTGTTGCAGCCCCGTTGAAGAACGTATCAGGCGTCGCTAAAGGCCACACTGAGTTTTCTTCTGACTGGAACTTGGACGAGGTCGAACGACACGACGTTGACCAAGCCGACGTCGCGGCATTGATGGCATACCTGGTCGGTCTGGACTTTCCAACCAACTCTGTCGGAGTTTTGCCGCTCTCTTATCTTGACAAAGACCCTAAAGCCAAAGCGGAAGCTCTCCTTGCCAACGCTAAGGAGATACTGGAAATGTATCACGTCAAAGAGGATATCAAGAAGTCGACACAACTCCGCTACAAGCCGTTCTCTGGCCTTGGTGACGAGGCACATTCTGTCGAACATCGCATTGCGGAAATACAAGCTTTCATCGACAAGGGCAACGATGTAGAAGCTATCCGTGAGACTTACGAGCTCATCGACCTTGGTCTCGAAGGATTGCGGTACTTGCAGACGTACGATTGGCTCTTCCTACGGACGCTGGTGACTGCCGGCTATGTCGGATGGATCGTGTTCGCTATCACGACAGTCATTGACCTGCATGTGCTCACCGAACATGTGCCAGCACAAAGAACGGCGGCCAGTATGGTGGTGTTCTCTTCTATGTTTGTTGCGCTCTGTGGAGTATTCTTCAAACAGGAATCACCAATCGTCTACTACGCATACGCTGTATTCCCGGTCTTGTTTTGGGAGGAAGTTTTTGCGCAGAGGCTGTCGCTTGTCAAGGGCAGTAAGGTTCTGTTTGGTCATTTGAACTCAGGCGCCGATGTTGCGAAGCTTGTATTTGCGACTCTAGGCTTTTTTGGTCTCCTCGAGGCTTTGGTACGTAGGCCATGCACAGAAAGACACGATGGTACTAACTCAGAGATAGGTCCAAAGCTACTTCGTCAGGGAAATCTACACCGTATGCTACCTGGTTGCAACATTATGGCCAGCAGTCTACGGACAGGAGTTTGTGAAGAAGAACATGGCGACAGTTGCCACTTGGGTCTTGTCTTGCATAGGCATGAGCGCTTTCACGCTACTTCCAGCCAACAAGGCAGAGGACACTCGCCTGATGTAAGTGCGCCGCTTTTCATGATCGAGTATGAACTAATGATATGCAGTCTTCTTGGAGGCGCATTGATGTTTGTCATCGGCGCGCTTTACCTGCTCTTTGAGAAGAGCATTCTCGAAGACGGCAAACCCGAAGCTGAACTCGCCAAGCATGAACTCAACAACAACTCTCGCATTATACTGGGCGCCCAGCTCGGTCTCGTAGTGCTGTCCATGATTGTCACCAAAAGCAGCAGCGGGTACCTACAAGCGCGCGTAGGCATACCGTTCGGCGTTTTGACCGTGACACGAGCAACGCTGTTGGCCTCACTCGTCGTCCCTCAACTGCATGGTCTCTACCCGAACACACACTACGTCCACCGTCTCGTAGTCATCTTCCTGCAGTTTGCGCCGACATTCATCATCCTCTCGATTTCGTACGAAGGGCTATTTTACTTCGCCTTCTGCATGTGTCTGTTCAGCTGGATGCGCCTCGAGCACCAGGTGTACCTGCATAGCACGGCCAACCCATCGACTGCAGCCATTACATCGGATCCGGCCAAGCCTACCATGGACGCTGCATCTGATCGCCTCGATTCGCTCCAAAAGGGGGAGTACAGAACATTGACCCTAGCCGACGCCCGCATAGCCCTCTTCTTCATCTTCTTCATCCAGTCGGCCTTTTTCAGTGCATCAAACATCGCTTCGGTGTCGTCCTTCTCGCTCGATGCCGTCTACCGCCTGGTCCCCATTTTCGATCCCTTCTCTCAAGGCGCACTTCTCATGCTCAAGCTCATGGTGCCATTTGCGGCTCTCTCGGCCAACTTCGGTCTGCTCAACCGCCGTCTGGGTGTGGCGCCGTCGGCCCTCTTCATGGTGGTGATGGCGGTCAGTGATGTCATGACACTGAGCTTCTTCTACATGGTCAAGGACGAGGGGAGCTGGCTGGAGATTGGAACGACGATTAGTCACTTTGTTATTGCGAGCTTGCTGGGTGTGTTTGTTAGCGGACTCGAGATTTACAGTGAGTGGACTATACGGGGTGTCGAGTTCGGTGGTAGCAAGAAGACGCAGGGAAATGGGACCGTCAACGGAAAGGCTAGTGGGAAGGTAGAGTAGTTGGTGTATGGAGTAGTTGTAGTGCGTTTAAATTAGTTTTATATGCGAGCATAGACGATCACCTCACACAAGGGAAAAACTGGACGTTTGCGCTGAAGTCGACATTACTATAAAAACATCAGTTTGAGAATTGTTAAGGCAATGCAGTCTTATCAGTTCTGCAGAGGTGGCTCTCCAGTTTTCCTTTTAGATGGGGTGTGATGTTCCAACCCTGTTGAGATAGGGGAAGCAATGGTCGAAAAGTATGGTTCACTACGGCAACGGTAGGATCGCTGGAGGCGCTGTACCAAACACGCAGGAAACGCACGTTGACTGGAGCTAGGAAGATGCATGCTTCCGAGATGAGCTTGGGTTGCCGGGCAACATTGCGCTGTGCAAGTGTCTCAATCGGTCGTGATGCTCTGGAAGCGACGGCAGGCCGCGTGGGGAAGGCGAGGTCGCTTGAAGGAGCATCACCGTGCTGTCTCGTTATCAGGCGAGATGGGCGGACGGCAGGCTCGAAGCGGTCGCGAGAGGTGTGATGTGGCTGGGGACGGGCGGCTGGGAAGGCTCGGCTCCACAAACTAGCGGGGGCCTGCGGATGCTGCGCTGGGCGGCATGCGAGAATGGTCCTACCCAACGCACGACTATACAAAGCATTCGCTCGTCAACAACATCCGTTCGGCGCATTATTACCTCCGCTACCGTCTGCGGCGCATTGTTTACCTCCATCGCTCCGCAAAAGACATATAGTCCGTCTTGTGCGACGCGCCGTGTGTGTGTGTGTGCAACGCAGCGCATCATCGATAGTCGTGTTATCGTGTCTTGGAACCAGGGGCCCGCCCCAACCACCGCCGCCAACAGCAGCCCGTCGTTCAACCTCGCACTTTTCCTGCGAATCGAAAGCCTAAATCCCACACGCCCAACCATTCTTTATTCGTATCTCCAGGCGCAATCTCGCTTCGTCTGAACTGCCAGCTTATAACACCGCCGGCCTTCACCCTTCGCTGCAGACTCTTCTTTTCGCATAATGTTCTTCAAACGGTAAGTCGGACCTGCTACGCGCTGCATCTGGTGACGCGCACTAACTTTGCATAGTCGGTCCCGAGCCAATTCTTACGTCGACAACAGTGAGAACCCGCGCTCGCAGTCATTCGACGATTACACAGATAAGCGCCCCGAGTCGAGCCGTAAGGAGTCCCACCACAGCCAGCCCTTTTCCCCTACCGAGGAGCCGGACATGTATCCCCGCCAGCAGCAACCCCAAGAGCCGACGTACGCGCAGAGTGCTCCCCCAACCCACAACAACATGCCCATCCGCTCCCAGCAGGTGCCCCCGACCGGCAGCAGTGCCCCGATGGGGCTCGGTATGCCCGACCTCATCACCGCTGCCTTCAACCAGGCCGTCCAGCCCTACACGGAGAAGATCGAGCAGCTCGAGAGCCAGCTCGCCGACATGCAGAACTGGGTCGACCAGCTCGAGCAGCAGCGCGCCGAGGTGCACAACTGGATCGACAAGCGCGGACTGCGCCCAGGTAAGCCGTCTGCACTGCTCGCTGCCCCACTTTGTACTGACCTGCCCAGATGTTCCTGCCTCCATTGCTAAGATCATGGACACGACCACCGCCGACGCTGCGCCCACACTCAACGCCCAGCTCGACCGCAAGATCACCATCGTCAACTTCGACCTGCACCGCCTGCAAGACGACCTCAACGATTCCATCTCCTCGTCACACTTTGCCTCGGCCATGCTGAAGTTCCTGCCCGACATCCAGCGCCTGACTCTCCTCCCGTCCGGCCCGCGCTACGCCTTCGACCTCATCCTGAAGCTCGGCGGCAACCTCAACTCACACGGCGGCATCGACAGTGCTGACGCCGGCGACATAGCAGCCCGCCGCGACTTCTACAACCGGCTCGACGAGACCATGGTCGATGTCGTGCAGCGCCGCTTCGGCGAGGGCGAGGGCTGGGACGTCAAGCGCGAGATCAAGCGCATCGAGAAGACGGCCAGCTACCTCAAGACCTACGGCGTCGAGCCATACTTCCCCTCAACGCTGGAGATGATGAAGCGCGAGATGGAGTTCCAACCGCACCCCAACGGCGGTGTTCCCAATGGCGGAACAGGAACCCCACCGCGGTACCATTAGATCTCTTGAGTGTGTGAGCTGAGGTGTGCTGACAGTCTGTAGCTCGGGAGAGTCGATCGAACAGAGGATAGAAGCGAGGCTGGCGAAACTAGCACAACTCACGCAAGCTATCAAGAAGTGTCGAAGTGCGCAGGACAGCTTGGGCCAATTGCATCAGTTTGTCGACCACACACCCGGGCGCTCTTCGGGGCCTCCCCCGCCGCTCCCTCCACGGCCTCCGCCTCAGCCGCCTACGAGGCCTGCGCCACCTCCGCCCGGATCTATCTCGGATCTCTATCTTGGTGGTGATAGCCCTGCTGCTCCCGGCCCGGCTGCTTGATGAAACTTTGTACTTAATACTCTTGATTGAACGAATTTCCTTGATGTGTTGCATGAAGCGGGGAAGGGAAGGAATTGGGGATAAATTGGGGTGTGGTTCTTCTTCTGCATCATACCCGAGCATTTTTGGTAAATGGCGGCGTTTTGGGAATTGGGTAGCCTCCTGCATGTAGCTCGCGGCGTACATTTAGTATAGTTGTCGCTTCTTTTGAAGTAGTAATTGAGAACATGACTGAAGATTTTGGGTCTGCAGCCGAGATTAAGATGAAAACATGCGAAGTGAGTAACCCAACCTCAACGTAGGCTCCAGGGTGTTGAGTTCTTCCCTTGGATGAGGTGGGAGAGGTGGGAATTTCCAAAGCTGTGCTTGTCTGGATTGCATGCGCCGAAAAGGACATCCGCTAGAAACATGGTGATGCGCTCGCAGTTTACACCCTCTGGCCGGCATTAAGGAAGAACCGAACCCGAAGTGGACATGCACTTGCTCAGCTTCGTTGCGGAAATCATGTGTAGAGGCTTGGCGACGGTGGTATCTGTGTATAAAAGATGTACTGCTGCTGCTCATTCTCTTCTCCTTCATTATCTCAGTCCGGGTGTGGTACTCCAAAATCTCACCATACCAACTCTGATGTCCTGTCTGCTCCTCCTTTTCCAAAAACTTTTCGATGAGTTCGTCATGGGATTCTGCTCCGCTCTCTCCTCTTCTTTGAAAAGGTTGAAATCCACATGTCATACAATACATGAGTCCAGAAAGAGATTGCAGAACTGTTGATGTCGCGATCTTCGAGATTGGCGAAAACCAAATTATCCGCAAACCTCACGATGTTTTTCGGGTGTTCCAAAACATGAAAATGCTGTATTCATGTGGGCGGCGGTGGAACTCGGGGTCTTGGAATGGTCCAAAAGACTTCGATCTACTATGGATGACGTCCCTGGTAGCATGTACGCTCTACCATTCTTTCGGCGCGGCGCTGTTATGAGAGATGGGGATAAAATACACTCTTCTGCGCCTTTGGACCTTACTTCCTATACCACACATTCTTCCTAAAAAGTCCAAAACACCTAGGACATGGCACAATGTCTGTGCTGTCTTTGTTCGAATAGAAATAAAGAAGTTGTCGCATTATGTCTGCTCTGCGCTGCCTTTCTCTCTTGTCATGACGACGTTCAGCCAGAGTTGATCTTCTCAAAAGTCAAGCGCACAATATTAATGACTTCGTTCCTCTCGCCGACAGTCGAAGTCAGATTTGAGAGAGCTGATCAAAAGACAACGAATTTGGCCCATGGAGACCGCTGCTGTTGCGCTGGCTGGACTTGGAAGCGTGCTGCACACAAAAAACGGCACGGTTGTCACTCACATGTTGGGAGAAAGAGCAGAGAAGTTGACGCATGGAAATTCCGGCGCCATCTCGGTATGTATACCGCGTTGTAGAAGCGGTATAAAAGCTCTTCTGACCCTCGCTCTTCTCGTCACCTTACATCTCCTACGGTCTCTTCCGATTTATCAAAACTTGCTCGAACACCTGCATGTTCTGCCTCTCCTTCTCCCTAAAAAAGAATTATGTTCGTCAAGTTTCCATACCCAAAAACAATAGCAAGCGTCAACATGTCTCTTTGTCGTCTTTGCTTTTCGTACTTTGAGATGCCGAGTGCAGCGCTGCTTGCACCGTAATATCCGACAAGAGTGTTCGAAATATGGTGGAGAAAGTCTTATGTCTTCCAGCGACCTAAATTCACATTATTCCAAAGTCTACCTCCCTGTTCAGGAACAACCTTCAAAAACAGAAACACTCAACTGCGATGGCTACCTAGTCAAAAGTACTACCGTGGAATGCATGTCGAGTTTCAACATACCCTTATTAATACATACTGAGGCGACTGTCGCAGAACGTTATAAAAGCTCCGCCGGTCTCTCTCTTCCTACCTTCTCTACACTTCAGTGCTCGAAGTGCTTTCCTCAAAATTTGGTGCGCCACACCTATGGGTTCTTCTCTTCCAAAAGATTAAAAATTGACCACCGTGGTCTCCTCCTGCCTTTCTTTCTTCTTCCCTTTCCACCAAAGGCAATCATACATTGACGTATGATTTCTCTGCTCTTCTTTCGACTGGGACGCGATGTTTAATCTTCGTCAAAAGGCACACATGATTAGTGCATGTCCGAGAAGGCGTACAAAACAGACATCGAGAACTTCCATGGTTTTCCTGGGCCCTGCGGTCTTCCATTAACAAATCTCTATCACGCATTCCGCATGTACGTGCGGTTGAGTGCTGAGGCCGACACTGATTGCATCGTCCATGGTGAAGCATGACCTACCATGGTGACTTATGAACACCTGGGCAGTCTTACAGGCGGTGTGGAACATGATTTCGATATCTGGTTTACTGCTGTCGTTCCTTCTTATACGACCAAATACTCACCTCTTAATAAACAACAAAAAGCTGGATAGAATACAACAATGATCCAGTCTGCTCCTCTCTCTAAAAACGAATAGCAGAAAGCGCGATGGCTGTCCTGCTCTCGGTGTCTTACTTATCTACGTTTGGTCGCGACGGTAGGGGAGCTTCTCAAAAAGACTCCTGGAGTTGATTCCGATACCCACAATATACATGCCAGAGGCTGATGTGGAAAACGCGTGGTGAGGTCATGGCCATCGTCACACGACAGCGGCAGTGATGTGCCTTTGTGCCACAAGCAATTCGGAGTCTATGTTCAATTTTTCAGGCGTCCAGAGCAATCGCAAAGATAATGTCGTCGTCGGAGTGATGCGGTGTTTTGCCTCGCCGCGAATGATCCTGGGGTTTCGTTTAGGCGGCCTGTGGTAACTCTCTTGACACCCGCAATCGACAGCTTTTGTTGACTTGCCTAATATGGAAATGCGCCAGAGCTGTACACTAGCCTGACTGGGATTAGCACATCCCAAGCTCTTGAGCACTGCTCCGGCCTCCAGCCACCAGATTTTATCACTCAAATAATCGAATTCAACACGATGGCTTCGACAGCACAGTACGCTTGCGGAATTTGCAGGGAGCGTAAAGTTCGGTGCGATCGCGCGCTTCCCAAATGCAGAAGGTGCGATCGTCTCAATCAACCATGTGGCTATCAAGTACACTCGCGTCGCACACGCGACGATCAACTCAAACAGCTTCAGGAACGGCTGGCCAAAACGGAGGCTCAGCTTGCTCTTACCACGCAAAATTCATCTACGACGAGTACGTCCCATGCGCAACCAGCTTCTACATTAGCACCCACGACTGCTAGTACTCCGATGGACCTGGATAGTGCCAGAGAGACGAATGCAATCGTTGTACATGGTTCATTTGTTCCGGACGTTGATTTATTCTCTCCTTTTGCAGAAGACATGGACTCACATATGACATTCGACTGGATGAATCAACCCCTGGCGGCACTCGAACCAATGGATGATTTACTTCTCAATCAACCTCAGGAAGCGTCACAAAGCACCTCAAAAGAAGACATGTCTCCAACCGATCTGAGTTCGCTGCACGATCGCTACTTCCAGTCCGTCCACTATTCCTTTCCGTTCATAAACAGAGATAAGTTCATGATTGAGCCAACGGTGAGCGGTGGCCCTGCAGCGAGTGCTTTGGTCTATGCTGTTGCGCTTGCGGGCTGCTCTTACACTACCCTTGAAGACTCCGAACGACAGTCGACATGCTACAACCTAGCGCGTGATTACGCCGAGAGATGCGAGCGAGAAGACTGCATGAGTGATCTGAACTTCATCCAAGCCTTGCTGTTGATAGGCCGCTTTGAGGCTACAAGCCAGAAGCTGGAGAGGAGTTGGCTGACACTGGGACGCGCCGCCATGCTTTGTAGGCTTTTGAGGCTACATCGAATGGATGAAGTCAGCCATGATCAAAGTACTGAGAGCGGAGAAGGCCAGAATAGCCCTCTTTTCAGTTTGCCGCATACTGAAGATCCAGTGCTACTAGAAGAACGACGACGTACATTTTGGGGCTTATACATATTGGAGAGCTACGTGAGAACACGTAGCGGATTACAGTGTCAGCTGGGAGACGTCAAGGTGCGGAACGTGAACCTCTATGCCTTTAAGAGTCTGACACAGTATCCAGGACTTTCGAATCAACTTACCATCGCCAGGGCTTTTGGATTCGAGTTTAGTACCGCTCAAGATGCCTTCTGTTCTAGACGTGGGTACCGAACCCGGTCTCGAGCTATCATCTTACGCTGGCTGCGTTCTAATGGTCGAGTTGGCCTTACGCTGCTTCGACCATGGGCAACAACGTGACAGACCAGGTTTCTGGGACGACTACTGCACCTTAGTCAAAGAGACCGACGACCTCTTTATTATCCTCAAGCGTCACCTCAACGCTGCGTCCATCCGTGAAGATCCCGTCGCCTTCAGCCTTTACATGAACCTGAGGGCTACAGAAATCTTCTCTCATGAATCAGCCATCACAAAGAGCGAGGAACAAGGGCTACCACCATTGATGATAGCAGAGAGCCAACGTCGCTCTACCGCCGCAGCTTTCCAGATATGCAGTGCGGTAGGGCTTAATCTGCCATCGCCGCGCAAGGAAAGTAGCGATATCATCATGATGCAAGCTATCTTCATTGCCTGGCCTTTGACTATGGCACTAAAAGCATTATACCGCGAACTCGTCAATGGCGAGGGAAAAGAGACTACCAGTGGTGTGGT